AGAGGGAAGGGAGAGAAGAGAAGGGAGGGAGGGAGGAGAGGGAGGGAAATAAGAAGCCTGCACTAGCAGCAACAGTGAGCTCCTGTCACACACCAATGTACAGAGATTCTGCATACTGTAACGTCAGCCAGACTGGGCATCCAGGCAGCACGCTCAGAATCAATGAACCTGCTGCCAGATGCTGTGAGCCTGTTCAGCGGGCTCTTCCTTTGGCTACACAGTGGTGTCAGGCCTCCCCTAAGACTCAGCTTTCCTGGTTAGGGGTCCGTGGCACTGCTGTTTTTGCAAAAACCCTCCTAGATGACTAATGTGTGGTCAGAGTAGAGAAGCCTGCTCCAGGAGAACAAAAGGTTTGTTCAAATTCACTATCTCTGTTGCTTTGCAGCAATGAGGAAGATTTTCTAAAACACAACATTGCTAATGTAAAGGTGGAAAAGACTCTGACAACTGAGTGTCCTGAATGGTGGAAGTCTGTAAGAAAGACAGAGGGTCCTCTTCAAAACTGACTTTCACAATGACATAAACACACGTGTGCAAAAGAATGATCTGCCCCAACAAGGGACATGCTAGGTGCTTCTCTCACCTCTACAGGGACTGAGATAGTGAGCACTAGGGCCAAGTCAGCATTTTATTCCTGCCTCTGGGCTCCCAGCAGGGTCAGTAAGCCATGGCTCACAGATCATTTTTGTACAACCTATGAACTAAAAATGACTTTTATGATTTTAAAAGGTGGGAGGGGAGGACTATAAGAGACCACATGTGACCCTCATGCCTAAAAATTTTACTATACAAGCCTTGACAAAAAAACATATGCAGATCCCTGATTTGTGGCAACCACAGTGCCCAGAGGTTCTCTGTTCTCTGTGGACCCAGAGGTCCACACTGTTGGTAACTTTCCCTGCCAATTCACAGACAGGAGCATCCTGAAATGCCTTAAGCAGGTGAAGCCAGGTAGAAGCGCACTCTCAGTAAAGAATCCCCAAAGAAAACAGCTACCAACTGCTAGGCTCCCCAGGGAGCCACAGGAGCCCTCATGACCATATGCACAGGAGCCATCCCCAGCTGAGGAGGGGCCCTGCTGAGGATGGCCCCTGCTGAGGATGGCCCCTGCTCTTCCCAGCCCTGGCATCACTTACCTACTGTGCCCAAATCTCCAATCTGGGTCCTGCTGTGACCTCACACAGAGGCCCTAAGATGCTCACTCAGGCCCCTCCTCACAGGGGTAGGGCCTCAAACTGAAGGTATCCCTTAATTACAAACAGCAACAGCCCTCACTTGGCCTTAGTGGCTGACACAGCCACTAAGGATTGCCCGGGAACCTGGCTGATCAAGGGAACTCACATAAGCAAATGAGCCTCGTTCAAAGGACGCATCCATCACCATGCTGCACAGAGAGCAACAGCCCAGTGCTCCTGACAAGAGGCCACAGGGGCCCTGTGGTGGGGCCCAGAGAGAGAGCTCCTCGGAGCCAGCAAGATGACCCTCACAACAGACTCTGGAATCAGCACACTCAAGCCAGAAAAAGAGGCACACCTCCCCAAGATGGGCTCTGTGGAGGTTAACGGCAGAAACCAGGCTCCAGACACCAAAGGGAAGCTGGTATTTGGTTATCTTCAGAGTCAACTGTCATCATGTATTCAGCAGACAGCAGTGCTCTGTGTCGTCTACCTGCACTGTATCACATCACTCTCTAGGTCATTTGCCTCACAAAATTGATTTAGGAGAGATTATTCAATTCCATTTTACATTTTCATGTTTTGGAACTCTGCCAGCAGCAACTTCTGTTCTTCCAGAGATCGGGAAGCTATGGACAAGGCGATCTCTCGCTGTTGTAAATGGAACTCCATATTCCCTTTATGAATTTCCTGTCAATCTTCAAATTACTTCAAATACGATTGCCCTTCACTTAGACAGTGTTTTATGTCTCCATGTCTCCCTCCTTCCCGTTTCCGATTACCTCCCCAGCAGCAGACAGCACTTCCCTGGAGCCCCCTGGGGCGCCTCTGTCAGGGGGGTGCAGGACAATGGGGGCAGACACTGCAGCCTCCCAGTCTGCAGCTGCCTGCAGACCACAGCAACATAAGCTAGCATGTCTTCTTTTAAAACTTCCTGCTCTTGTTCCCAGTTGCCCCACCAACTACCACGTTTCCTTACTCTTTGCTGTAGGAAAACTACATCAACTCCCCGCATTCCTGAGGATTCTGCTCCACCCCAGACCAAATCTGCCCTTCTCCCAGCCACCACTGACTCCATACTGCTTAGGGTTGCCACCAGGGTCCCCTTGGAGCCATGCCCAGCATCTGGTATGACCTTCACCACCACCCACTCAGTGGCTGGGCAATGCCCCTTGGCTTTCCGCCAGCTGACCAGTTTATTTTTCCCAACTCCCCAAGAGAAGCGTGTCTTCCCTTCCAACCTCTTGACATTGGCCAAAGGGCCAGCCTCAGTTCTGGATCCTCATCTCTTCTTGTACTCCCCACTCGGTAATTCCATCCATTCATCTAAAGTCAAACCACTCCCCACCATCTTCTCCATGTACCAGTCCCCTCTCCCAAACCCCGCTCACATGTAACATCCAGTTGCTATCTTCCACAGGACATGTCCAAACTGCAACCTCATGTGACAACTGCAAAGCCACATTCCTAGACTATCAGGCCAAGAGCCACTCTTGATGCCTCTCCTTTTCATGTCACACGCATGTTCATGAGCAAGCCCCAGGAGATCTGCCACCAAACTACATCCAGAACTCAGCCACCATATATATCCACTGCTGCCACCCTGGACACAGCCACCACCACCCTCCTTGGTGAACGCACTCCTTCTTCTGTTCATGCCCCCTGAAACAGCAGGCACAATCATCCCGGAAGAGCCTAAGTCTATTCATATCACTGCTCTGCTCAAAACCCTGCAATGGCTCCCTATTTCCCACGGAGTAAAGGTCTAATTCTCCGATCGGCCTCCAAGGCCCTTCAAGACCTACTCACCCTCTCCCAGCTGCTGTACCTCCCTGTCAACATCGCCCTCCTTACCCTCTGCTCCTGCCACACCAGCCTCTCCTTGCTGTCCTGGGCATCTGCTCTCAACATTCCCTCCTCCAGAAATGCTCTTCCCGAGATATGTACTTGTCACCTCCTCAGTGAGGGCAGCCCTGTCCTCCACCTGTAAGAAGGCGGCTCTCCCTTACCCTGTATTGCTTCTGTTATGGCATACAAATGATGTCTTTATCACATCTCCTGGTCACTGCATCTGTCCCTCAACAGAACATAAGTCTCCTTGGGGAGAGAGGATTCTGTTCTGTCCACTCATACGGCTCAAGGACCTAGATCAGGGCCTGGCACTTGTATGGATACCATGGATTTGAATTATAGAAATATTGGCCTCAAAACCTGAGATTTCCGGAAACCAAAGTAAAAACAGAAGTAAAATGAGTTACAGTTGGACTCTCTGTTTGTGTTAGGAACAGCAAGAATGCTGATGAGGTTAAACAGGGCAAGCAGGGGCAGGTGGCAGGAAGTGAGTCTAGGGAGCAGGCAGAGGCCAGGCCTGTGAAGCTCATAAACCCATTGATTTTGAGATACTTGTAGATTCACAGGCAGGGACAAAAGTAATTCAGATACTCCATGTGCCTTAACTCAGTTTCCCCCAACAGTGACATCATGCAACAATGTAGTGCAGTATCAATACCAAGGTACTAACTCTGACACAGTCAACATAAAGAACACTTCCATCATGACAAGGATCTCTCATGTTTCTCTACAACCACAGCCCTGAAGAAGTTAAGGAATTAACATTTCTTAACCCCTGACAACCAGTAATCTGTTCTCTATTTCTACAATCTTCCCATCTTCACAATGTTCTATGCATGGAGTCATGTGGTACGTAAGCCTTTGGGATTGGTGTTTTTGACTCCGCATAACTCTCTGGAGACCCCCTAGGTGCTACACATGTCATCCTTCAGTCCTTTCCATTGCTGGGTAGTGTTCCACAGCACAGACACCCACAGTTGTCCACAGAAGAGCTCTGGGGCTGTTTCCAACATTAGGCTCTTTCAAGTAAACCTACTTTGAACATTTGTAAGTAAGTGCTTGTGTGCACACGGCTTTCATTTCTTTGACATAACTGTCCAGAAGTCACATTGCTGAGTTGTGTGGTAGCTGCAAATTTAGTTACAAGAATCTGGCAAACTGCATCCCTGAGTTCCTGTACTATTTTATATTCCCACCAGCAATGTATGAAGGATCCAGTTCCACCACATCTCCACCATCAACTGCTGTTGTCACAGCTTTTTTTAAATCTTAGCCATTCCCATATTGTGTGGTGATATCTCATCATAATTTTAATTTGCATTTCATAAATGGCTAATAATACTGAACATCTTTTCAGGTATTATTCTGTCATCTTTATACCTCCTTAAGTGAAATGTTTCTTCATGTCTTTCATACAGTTTTTAGTTGAATTGTTTATTTTTTCACTGTTGAATTTTCACAGTTTTCAATATATAGGCATCCCTTGTTTTATTGCACTTCACGGATATTAAGTTTTTTTACAAACTGAAGGTTTGTGGCAACCCTGTGTCAAACAAGTCTGTTGGTGCCATTTTCCCAACAGCAAGTGCCCACTTCATGTTTCTGTGTCACATCATAGTACTTCCTACAACACTTCAAGCTTTTTCATTATGATTATATATCTGTTATGGTGATCTGTGGTCTTGATGTTACTATTGTCATTGTTTTGGGACACCACAACCCAGGCCCATGTAAGACAGTGAACTTAATCAATAAATATTGTATGTGTTCTGGCTGCTCCACCAGCCTACTGTTTGCCAATCTCTCCCTCTCCTGGGGCCTCCCTATTCCAAGACTTAACAATATTGAAATTAGTCCAATTAATAACCCTTCAGTGGACTCTAAGTGTCCAAGTGAAAGGAAGAAATGAGTAAGCTTAGTGAGGAAGGCATGTCACAAGCCCAGACAGGCCAAAAGCTAGACCTGTTGCACCAAAGAGCCAAGTTGTGAATGCAAAGGAAAAGTTTTCTGAAGTAAATGTACTACCCCAGTGAACACACGAATGATGAGAAAGGGAAACAGACTTGGAACTGATATGGAGAAAGTGTGAGTGATCTGGATAGAAGATAAGACCAACCACAACATTCCCTTAAGCCAAAGCTCACTCCAGAGTAAGGCCCTAATGCTTTACTTCTATAAGGCCGAGATAGCTGAGGAAAGTGTATTGGAGAATTTGAAGCTAGCTGAGGTTGGTTGATGAGATTTGAGTAAGGAAGTCTCCATAGCATAAAACTGCAAGGTAGAGCAGCAAGTCCTGATGTAGATGTTGTAGCACGTTCTCCAGAACAGTAAGAGAACTGATGAAGGTTGCTACACTAAGGAACAAATTTTCAGTGTAGACAAAATAGCCTTCTATTGAAAGACTGTGCCATCTACATCTAGGACACTCATAGCTGGAGAAGAGAAGTCAATGTCTGGCTACAAAGCTTGAAAGCACAGGCTGACTCTCTTGTCAGGGCCTAATGTAGCTGATGACTGTAAGTTGAAGCCAGTGCTCATTTGCCATTCTAAAACTCCTAGGACCCTTAAGAAGTATGCTAAATCAACTATGCCTGTGCTCTATACTGGAACAACAAAGCCTAGATGACAGCACATCTGTTTACAACATGGTTTACTGAATCTTTGAAGCCTGTTGTTGAGACCTACTGCCCAGAAAAAGGTTCTTCTCAAAATATTACTGCACCCAGTCAAGAGCTCTCTGATGGAGATGTGCAAGGAGATGAATGTTGCTTTCATGCCATTAACATCGCATCCATTCTGCAAGCCACGGATCAAGGAGGAATTTTGACTTTCAAGTGTTACTATTTAAGAAATCATTTTGTAAGGCTGTAGCTGCTACAGATGGTGATTCCTCTGATGGATCTGGGCAAATTAAGTTGAAAACATTCTGAGAGGCATTCACCATTCTAGATGCCATTAAGAATTTTTGTGACTCATGGGAGGAGGTCAGAATATCAACAGAGTTTGGAAGAAGTTGATTCCAACTTTAAGGGGTTCCAGACTTCATGGGAGGAAGTCACTGCAGATGTGGTAAAAACAGCAGGAGAATTAGAAGCAGAGCCTTGAAGGTGTGAATGAATTGCTACAATCTCATGATAAAACTTGAATGGATAAAGAGTTGCTTCTTATGGTGAACTTCTTATGGTGCTTCTTATGGTGATGCTGTGAACATTGTTGATGACAACAAAGCGTTTAGAATATTATATAAGCTTAGTTGCTAAAGCAGCAGCAGGGTTTGAGATGACTGACTCCAATTCTGAAAGAAGTTATACTGTGGTGAAAGGTTATCAAACAGCATCACATGCTACAGAGAAAACTTTTGTGAAAGGAAGAGTCCATTGATGTTGCCAACTTTAGTGTTATTTTCAGAAATTACGACAGCCAACCAGCCCTCAGCAACTATCATGCTGATCAGTCATGCAGGTACGACTCTCCACCAGTGAAAAGATGATGACTCACTGAAGGCTTATGTGATCATTAGTATTGTTTAGGAATAAAGTATTTTTAAAATTAAGTCATGTACATTGTTTTTAGACATAATGCTACTGCACACAATAGACTACAGTAGAGTGTAAACATAACTTCTGTATGCCTTGGAAAACCAAAAAAATCATGTGACTTGCTTTATTTTGATATTTCCTTTATTGTGGTGGTCTGGAACAGAACCTGCAATAGCTCCGAGGTTTGCCTATACTTGATGTTTCTGATGAGCTTAATGGTAAAATTATCAAGTGATTTTTTGACATTATATATAGAAATATGTTAACATTTCAGAAATTTCTCACTTCACTCAGTGAACTATTTCCAAATGACTAAAGCATGTTACAAAAATCATGCATGGGTAAAATATATGTTCAAGGGGCAAGGTTGACAGACAATGGGTTGTAATAAAGTACTACGAGTTTATTGATAGTGTTTCAGATTCCATGTTGCAACTAACCTTTAAGAAACTACCACCTGTCAAGTTTTGATGTCCTATCTAGCTAGAACATCTACAATAATCTGTTAAAGCTATAAAAAATGCTCCTCTTTTTTCTAGCCACATATTCATGTGAGGCTAGGTTTTCTTCACATAATTAAATCAGAACAATGTATCACAACAGGTGAATGTAGAAGGAAATATAAGAATCAAGTTGTTGTAGTAATTCTGACATTAAAGAGTTCTAGAAATTCTTCTAATTTATTTTTGTTTCATAAAATATAGTTATTTTACTGTTATTTTTGGGCTGTGTGAGGTGGCTCACGCCTGTAATCCCAGCACTTTGGGAGGCTGAAGTGGGCAGATCACTTGAGGTCAGGAGTTCAAAGCCAGCCCGGCCAACATGGTGAAACCCTGTCACTACTAAAAGCACAAAAATTAGCCAGGTGTGGTGGCACACACCTGTAATTCCAGCTACTCAGGAGGCTGGGGCAGGAGAATCACTTGAGCCTGGGAGGCAGAGGTTGCAGTAAGCCGAGATCATGCCACTGCACTCCAGCCTGGGAAACAGAGTAGGAGAATGTTTCAAAAAAAACCGAGACTCTGTCTCAATAAATAGTTTTTTATTAAATAATAGGTTCACTATTATTGTAAATGAATTTCTGAATAATTTTAAAATCTGTGTTAATTTCAAGTAATGTAACTATCAATAGATAGAACCCAATTTAAGAAGTTATGTGAGAGAAAAGGGGTCCTGAGTCCAAAAACTTTGACAGCCCATTGGTCTAGTGTCATAGGATATTGTGGTGCTTGGGGAGGAAACACGAGGGGTTTTGGTGAAGAACCATGGAGACCCACTAAGATGATAAGCTGTCACCAGCTGCCTGTCCCCTTTCTCGCACTGTCAGAGGGAAGACTAAGTTATTTGTTTGCTTGTTTGTTTTTACATAAGTACTAATAAAAAAGTAAGTTCACTTGAAAGACTGACATTGGAAGGAAACTGATGGATTCATTTCAACTTTAATATTGTAAATAATTTTAGAAATTGATATCAAAATTTAATTTGCAAGGCAAAATCCCTCCAGATGATTCTGCTCTGTGAGGGGAGATTTAATCCAAATTGCTCTGTTATTCAACAACACTTATTAGCACTTGGTGGGGGCACTGTGCTGCTCTGAGAAGGGGATCAGGGGTATTGCAGATGATTTTTCTGTTCCTAAGGGTTTTTTTTCAGTACTTTAGGAGGGAGAGAATGTTGGTAGGGCAAGCACTCAACTGAAAGACTGCCTAAGAAGATGTAAAATGGTAAAGGAGATGGGAAAGCTGGAATCACAGCAGCTCTCTACAGAAGGCTCTGGCCTGAGGGAGGCAGTGCCTGAGGAGGGAGTGACCAGCCTTTGTGTAGGCTGGAGGCACTCTGGCAGGTTACAGCCCTAGACAGGAATTCACGTCTCACTGCCTGGTATTGGGACATAGAGCTCACAGGCTGGCTCATTTACATGCATGGGGCACCTATGCCATGCTGTGCAGTGGAGAAACAAAGGTCTCTCAGCACCAGAGAAGTCATCATTGCTGGGCGAGCACCTTGCAGAAGGAATTGTCCCTGTGGAGGGTGTGGGACACAGGCCCAAGACCACAGTATAGGGGGTGCTATGTGCTTATCCTCATTTGGCCTCAGTCCTCTCCATCTGTGGGCTGCTTCCAGGGCTCCTTATGGAAATACAGGAATATCTCTTCTATTTGGGAATCCAGGGAGCAAGGAATTCTGATTAATGTATTCCCTTTCAGTTTCCAGACCATTATTAGAAAATTCCTTTATTCCCTAGAACATGCTAAATATGATTGAGTCTTTCTAAAAGACAGGATTTTTCAGGGCCTAAGGGCATCATTGACCATAGAATATTAGTAATCCAAGTGTCCTGAGAAATCATCTGGTTTAGATCTCCCATCGCAGAGCAGAAGCACCCTGAGTCGTGGACCCTCCCACGAGACTCAGCAAACATTGTCACTGGCATGCATGGGTCCTGTCCCTCAACTTCTTGACTATAGAGATGAAATCAGAAAACCTGACTCAGATGAGACTTTGGACTGTGGACATTTGAGTTAATGGTGAAATGAGTTAAGGCTTTGGGGGACTGTTGGGAAGGCACAATTGATGAACAAAAAATGTGAAGACATGAGATTTGGGAGAGGCCAGGGACGGAATGATAGGGTTTGACTGTGTCTCCTCCCAAATCTCATCTTGAATTGTAGCTCCCACAATGCCCACATGTTGTAGGAGGGATCCGGTGGGAGATAATTGAATCATGGGGTGGGTCTCTCCCATGCTATTCTTGTGATAGTGAATAAGTCTCATGAGATAATGATGGTTTAATATAGGGGAGTTTCCCTGAGCAAGCTCTCTTCTCTTGTCTGTCGCCATGTGAGATGTGCCTTTCACCTTCCACCATGATTCTGAGGCCTCCCCAGCCATGTGGAACCTCTTTCTTTTGTAAATTGTCCATTCTCAGGCATGTTTTTATCAGCAGTGTAGGACGAGACTAATACACTGGGTGAGGGCTAGAGTTTCAGATACGACAAGCTATATATGACTCTGGATTCTCTTCCTGCCTCTTTCTCTAAATTGGATGACAATGAGGTTTGGTGTTAGGAACAAACAGGAAGCAGGTGCTGGCTGAAAGCTCTGCCAGAGTGCAACGTGGAGGGAGGGAGACTGAACTCTGGCTTATCTTCTAATTTCCATTGTCTCCTGCTATTCAAGAATCAATCATAGGAGACAGTGCCCTCCACAAAAGGTATCCAGGATGGAAGAAAAATGAAAATGCAGAAAGTGACGTGGAATTGTTAGCCTCTAGGTCACTTGGGAGAGCCCTAGGCCATGCCTTGCTGGGGACTTATTTTCTGATGCACTTAGAGGTGGGGATCAGGTTGTCTATGCCCATTTTCTTTCTTTCATTTCCCTCTAACATCTTTCATTACCTTGGGGCATGAAGATTTTCCTCCATTTGTGGGCCATGTTTGAGTTGCTACATAAAGTTCTGGGCTGTGGCAGGGGACGTTAATGAGCAAGCTGGTCTTTAAATAGCACAGCTCCAATAAACAGAATCACCTGTTTTATAGCTTTCTATTGGAGAAAAGTGTTCACAGAGGATTCCAAATAGCTGGAGAACATTAGAAAGGCAGTAAAATGTTCCCTGCCCCTGCCGTGAGGCAAGACTGGCTAAGAACACATCTCACAGCAAAGACACTTCCTTTGGGGTAGACGGGAATCATCCATCATGATGCATTAAACTCAGGTTACATCAAAATGAATGGCCAAGCCAAAATCTCCTTGATTATGGGAAACCTAGTCATTTGTTCTCTGTGTCAGCTTAATGGCACATAATGTTCACATTACATTATTCTGGAGCTGAGCCAAGAGGCCAGCATGCTTGCCAGCAGTGCAGCAATGAGCTAATCAGCCTTTTGGCTACCACATTCCTGGCCAAGAGCTCTTCTGGAATTAGTGCTGTCACTGCACCAGACCAGAGGCCTCATGTAGACTGCTCTTTCTTTTCCTCTATGTCTCATGCTAGTCCTTGCTTTCATCAGATGATCCCCAAATCCCTTCTCCCCCAAAGAGCCTTGTGAGGCTGAGGCTCTGAGATGTGATGCTAGAAATTCAGCCAAACAAATTATTTATTGAAAAGCCCCGTCCTGGTGGCTGCTTCGTGGACAACAGCTCCCATTCTCAAGGAGCA